CACTGTACCCCCCAGCCCTGCCACGTGGGGGCTCTCCCATGTGCACTAACTGCCACAGTGACCCTCACCACACGTCACCCCAGGTGACCGAGAAGGGCAACGCTAACAGTCTGAAGACATGATGCTCGGGGCTCCACTGTACACGGTTATTCAACAGGCCAAGGGTTAGTCCTGTGGGACTGCCCTTCTTGTAAGTGCTCTCTAAATAATATTCATTCCCACAGCCAACGGTGTGTAATATGAACATTATTTATTCCCTTTTCGTAATCATTGTCAGTATTTTTCCCTTCATGGAAACAATCACGATCCAAAGCAAAAATATAAAACATTACAACTGTAAACATTTGTAAAACAAAACAAAATCCTTTGTACGAGTGTAATTACTTTTTTGGTTTCCCTAGAGTGAGAGTCACAATATAATGGAGAGCACATCTCCTCTCTGTCCAGTTGGCTGTAAAAACTAAACCAGCAATCATTAAATGCAGACGTGTAACAGGAATGCTGCACACCGGGAATATTTGAGGTAGCAGTGAAGAGGGGTGTTGTACAAACGGTCAGTACACAAGGTGCAGTTTTCCCCAGGGTCACCCAGGTGACCACAAGCCCAGAACAGCTGAGGACAGGCAGAAGTTGTGGAATAGACTAGCCCTCTGATTTTTAAAAAAAAAAAGTGATAGAAAAATGGAAATTGCACTTTAAAAGGTCAGCCTTTGGATAAAAACATATCACCTGAGGTACAAATTATAAAACATGGCATTTAAAAGGCCAAATCAATAATAAACCAGGTGGTGTCTCTCTTCGTAATAGACTGGATGCTGTATTAGACAAACATCCAGTCATGGATTACACAAAAACTTGCAATCAACAGCAACATCCCTGAATGAGCTCTTCAAGAAGATTTGGTTGAGCACTGAGATACAGAATACTTTCCAGCGTCTATACAGGAAAAACTGGCAATGGAGAGATGTCATCATCATTTAAAAACATGTTTTAAATCCGGATCTTAAAATACTCCGATCCTTACTGATATCCTCCACAAAGGAGCCCAATACATAATAAATCCAGGCCCAAGGATCAGTACTGGGACCGGTGCTATTTTCTAGGGATTCAGATCTAAGGATTTTTAGATGTAGGGATTCCTCCCTCTCCAGAATGTATCCCAGGACCTGAGATTGAATTCCACCCTCCAGCAGCAGAGCTTAGATCCCCACAGCAGAAGATCAGGGTCCATGAACACTAGGGGGTCTCCACCCAGGTCACAACGATCACACAGAGACTGAGCAGCCCCACACACACTCCGAACACCAGGAGGGCCAGCGCCTGGAAGGAGAGAGAGAGGAAGAATGGCTGGTCAGTCTCCAGTACTTCTCTCATTCAAACAGGCCTTCTCACACAACAGCTAGAATCTAGCAGTGCAAAATCCAGTTGATTATGTAGCATCAAAGTGTTAAGACATGATGAATAAATGTGTACCAATACACTTAGATTTGTATAGAAACACCGCGCCAAATTTGGAAAAACGCCAATTCGAACCCCAGCATCGGAGCCCTGTGCGCTACGTACACACAGTTTCTGGGGAGACCTGAAGTTCTCTGTGCTGATCCGGAGGTAGAACAGCCCTGGGAACACAAACAGCAGACAGGTGGAGGTTGTAGATCCTGCAAAAGACACACAGAGCCATTAGCTATTCAGAAAGCTATTCTGGAAGTATTTTGCTTTCCAGAGGTCAAGAAATTCGACAAAAAGGAAGCCCACCATCAGATAGGCGATGCTGCCATAGTAATGTGGATTGACATTCTAAGGTACTGCCTTGCTCAAACACTCCTTAAACAAGCAGTCCTCGCAGGGAGATAATACATGCGCAACAACGTTCTAACAAAAAGGAGCAGCCCAGTCTCTTGAAATTGTTCCATGCAGGGCCTGACTGCATGCTCACGTGTCCTTTTCTTACAGCTGTCTTCCAAGATCAACAGACAGCTCCTAGTGGGGTTCTTTGCAAAAAACGCAGGCCCTTACCCACAACTCCAAAGACATTCCTGAGGTCTGGCACGAAGATGGCGAGCAGCAGGACGATCCCGATGAGTGTCAGGGTGATGAGGGAGTGGAAGAGCCAAGAAAAGGGCCGTCCTGAGAGCAGCATCATGGTCACAGCCTTTCTGGCCTGGAAAAGACAGCGATAAGGCAAACAGCACCCCCTACTGGTTCCTCTGTGAAAATGCAGACCTCCTGGTCCACTGCTGTGCTCAAACACACCGAGTCCCAGGATGCATTGTGTTAAAGAAAACTTAAAAGTTAAAATAACAAACTTAAACATACACCTATATCACCTCCAAAGGTTAGCACACCCACCTTTGTTTAGAAAATTACAAAATGGCCCCTCTTAAGAAAAATAAAATTCCATCATCCAACTAAATGGCCTGTTTGGCTGTTGTAATTTTTTTTTTTTTTTTTTACAGTGACCATTTGTTTTAATTGGCCAGCGCAAATACAATCCATAAGACTACCGACTAGACAATGGACTGGTGTCATGAAAATGCCTTAAGACCAGAAACGAAGCCAGCAGACGCAAGCAGTGTCCCTGCTGTGGAAATGACTAGGGTGGTTTGGAAATGAGTAAATAAGGAACAGCTTAAAAAAATAAGCAGGGAACAGCAGAATAAAGCTAGATGCATACAGGAAATAGCCTTCAATGAAAAGCAAATGTAAAATGATACGGGCAGCAATGAAGCTGCGAGTCTATGGGCGTCAGAAAGAGGTGACGACAACACACACGGTCAACCCGAGTGGCAGACTGGGCTGCAGGAAGGGAAGTGTCTGCTCCACTGTCCCACTCTGCTCTCCACTCTCCAATGACGCACCGAGATCACGCGTCCTGCCGCGAGGGGGCAGGCCCCCAGTTCATGCCCGAGAGGTACGGGTCCAAGCGGTGAAGCGGATCGACTGCTCGCGCACAGACGCGCACGCAGCGTTCCCGCCTGACCCGGCCTGCAGCTCTGCCGGGGGTTCCGGGACCCCGACTGCGACCCGCCCGGGGCGCCTGCTGCCCCCCCGGGAAGCCCCTGGAGCGGGCAGCGCCGGAGCACTCACCGGGAAGTGGATCAACGGCACGGTGAGCAGCACGGCCAGGAGAATGGCGAGGCGCACGGTCATGACCAGGACGTCGTGGGGGAGGTACAGGTCGTACCCCAGCAGCAGCTCCGAGTCCACGCGGCCTGGGAGAGACAGGCAGCGCTGCAGCTCCACGGACAGGACCCAGGCACTAACGGTGGCCGACATGGGCACTTCTCCTCCCTCTCCTCCAGTACAACTCACATCTTATTTGCAATGAGGCGCTAATTGCTTTGGCTTTTTCAGCAGGACAGCCAATTAAGCAATTAGGGATCATTTATTGCAATATTGTACTGGATAGTCAGGATTTCCCACCCATAAGCTCCACTACATGCATACACATTACACAGACATACGTTTGCAGTTACAAATACCAAGTTACGTAGCACAGCTGAGAAACAATATTCATACTGCCTGCCTCTCATTTCAACAAATCTAAATGCAGGAATAACATCCAGGTACTGGGCTGAGTTTTTGACAGATGCTTAAAAATATAACTCTGATCCCTGGGAACACATTACTCAGTACAGGCATGGGCAGAGTGTGCTGCTCAAAGAACAAGACCTCAGAATTTCACTGCACCTCACAGGGGTAAATTGACCACACCTACCGTAGAAGGTAAGGTACCCAAACAGGGCCGACAGCAGGTAGATGAGGAAGCTCAAGGCAATGCCTGTGTTTGCCACATTCTGCATCCGTCTCTTTGTAGGCCTAAAACAATAAGGGAGGCCTATAAATCGAATAAGAATGTAAACACCCTTACAGTACAGCTAGCCAATTAAAAAAAACATCTAAAAACGTTTAGAATGTTTTTTTATTTAAAAACGATTAGCTGCCCAAATTCCTCAAGAAAGCCAGTGGCCAAGCCTTACACTGCAGCACAGATCAGAGGCCGTGGCCAGGGGACAGGGACTGACCTGTGGAGCTCGCTGTAGATGGGCAGCACAGCCGTGTGGCAGAGGAAGGAGAAGGCCATGGTGGGCACAGCGTAGGCACTCTGAAACACAAGGACAGCACACTTACTGCTGCTCGATAACCCAACACAGACGTGCAGCTGCAGGGCCTTTTCACACACATCTGACATGTGGAATATGAAGCACATTGCTGCTTTTCACACTAGGTTACATTCTAGCTTCATAACTTAACAGAGGCATTGTTATTTCTCTTCTATGTTGCCGATACCTAGTCTAACAAGGATGGGGAAGTACAGAAATCCACTTACGTTAACTGTATCACCACTGGGACCTACCTACCTTACTGGAAATGACAAACAGCTTTGGAATGCAATCAGAGGAATTGGGGTACTAGGGAAATACAAATAGAAACATTAGGATGCCAGAAAGTTTATATTGTTTGTGCAGAAAACATTAAGAGTCATTACATCACTTTCGAAGCAAGCATGATTTTACAACAGGGAATAGTCATTCAGGTTTTGTTCTCCAACATGAGAGGAATGAGGGCTGCAGAGAAACACAGACTGCAACAGAGTCCATGAACATTCTTCTCCAGGGCTGAGAGAGCTTCGGAACCATGCTGACCTCTGACCTACACAGGTCAGAGGTCACATCCTGCTTGTCTGTGTGCTGTAGTCCCTGGATGACTGTGGTGTGTCGGGGGAGGTAATGTTAGTGTGGGGGGAGGTGATGTTAGTTGGGGGGGGAAGTTGGGTGACCAGAGCCAGTTTTTAAATGAATTTCCATGTAGATTCCCATTCCCTTTAAATCAGTTCCAGGTTCAGTTCCAGTTCAAATCATTGGCTTCTCAACCTGATTAAAAGAAATGCAAATTGGAACAGGACGCGGGAGTCAATTCGGAAAAGGAAGTGGTAATCAAATTTGCAATCCAGAACAAAAATGGATCCTGACTCCGGAGAGGAAGCCAGCTCTGAGCAGCGAGTGGGAATTCTCTCTGCCTTAGGATGAAATCCCTGTTCTCCTGGCAGTGCCAGCCTCCTCCGGGCATACACGAGGAAGAGGCCTGTCTCATAGCAGCGTACAGTGGATGTGTAAGGGAACAGAGGATAGACTCAGCTTTAACTCATTAAGGAAGCTGTACTAGCTCTTCACAGCCTCTGTCTAATGGCTGCCGATTTTTCTTGCTCGAGCACCAAACCTGAGAGCAGGAAGCACGGACAAATTGCGCCGCGAAAGGGTTTTAAACCACAGACTAGTGGCGTTCGCATGCCCAGGGCGGCGGCGACGGGTTCCCCTACCTGCGCGTGGCCCAGAGTCAGTGAGGCGTTCTGCGGGAGGGGGCAGGGGACAGACCACTTCTTCACCACGATCTGCGTGCAAGCAAAGGGAGACCCCCCCCTGCGTCAGCTGGGCGGAGAGAGCAGAGAGGGAGCAGCACGTGCAAGGGCACCGCTCACGGGGATGCTGGGACGAGGGCACACTCACCACCACGGCGAAATACACCATGAAGAGGAAGGACAGGCTGCTGGTGTAGCCCAGAAACCCTGCGGACAAGAACAGAGGAGCCACCTGTCACTCACCACAGCCCGGCTGCCAACACAAACACAGGCAAAAAAAACAAACAGAACAGAACAGAAGAGCACCTGCACATTTAAGTCCATGTATTAAGCAAGTTGGGACTTTAGTGCAGCTCACAGGAGGGATCATCAGTGGTGAAAGAAGGGTAAAGAATCCCAAAAGCTCAGCCACATCCTCATCAACACAGACACAGCTGCTGTAGTGCAAGAGCTGTATTGTCAGCTGAAGTGCAGGAGGCTGCAACTACACCTGGGGCTCGAACCCTGGCTCTGAGGCAGACACCTCAGAGTATCTCCAGCCAGAAGCAAATCCAGGCTTTTAACACCCGTCACTTCGCAGAAAGCCAACAACGATGAAAACAGTAATTATGGCTATTCATACCACTTTTTTAGCGAGATTATATCAGGGAAATGCTGTGTCAAACGGCTCACTGCCACCCCAGTTTCACCCCCAAAGCGGGGCTTCTTGCTCCTGATACAGCTTGTTTGTGTTGAGGCCGAGGAGGAGGGGAAACGGCAATCAGCACTGACAGACGAGAAGGAGCTGTAAAAGGCGTTTATTGGAAACAAAGGAAGTCCCCGCTGCTCCGCACTCTCCAGGCGCAGCAAAGGTTAAAGAGATCTGCGATCTCGGGGGACCTCCGGCGGCTCGTTAAGCCGGGGGGGCGTCTTGGAGTCACTGCTGATGAAAGGAGAGGAAAGGGAAGACAACTGCGCCCAGGCCACCACCCCCCCCCCGAAAATAAATTGTGGGTAAAAAAAATGAACATCACCGTCGGGCGAGTAATACGATAACAGCAACTGGCATCTGAATACGTTTACTGGCAAGCAGCAATATGCCTGGAAACTGTGCAAAAATTCCAGATAAGACTAGTGCCGTTCGCACGCCAGGCGATGCGATGTATCCTGGCCTGCTCAGAGCGACTCACCTATTTTAGGGAGAAGAGCCAGAGGCAGCACGATGCACACCGCCGCCACCAGCAGCAGGATCCTGCCATCCAGGTACCACGAGCCCGAGGCCCTGCCATCACAGGAGAACATGAACACAGCGCCGGGCTGTCCCGCACAGAGGCTCGCCCACTGCTACCCAGTCCGAGCTCTCCGCGGCCCTGACCGCCCCACTGCAGTCCCGCAGGAAAGCAGGATGTCTCAGTGGGAACGGGTGGCAGCCATAGGCCTCGCTGTCGCTGCCAGGTGGGACTGGCGCACACCAGGATAATCAGGCAAATGAGCTGGGGTGCCAAGTGAAAAATCCTCTATTTATTGCCATGCTGCCTCCCACTCACTGCCCATTTGACCTCCCGTTTGCTTCTTGTTCATTACATGGGTGAAGAAAAGTAGAAAATGCCATTTGGCACATCTGCATAGTCACCCCAGCTTTGCTTTCGGAGCTGTAACCTAACACTGAAAGGATATATTGTTCTAAACCCAGGCTTGCCTGTTCCTCTAATATCAGTGAGGTCCTGGACATGCTGTGGCTGGTACCATCTAATATCTCTGAAGCCCTTTAGCTGTGTGACCAATCCGGCGGAATTTAGCCGTTCCTACTCCAAGTGCCTAACTGGAAGCAGGCTGTTCCAAAATTTGTCTTAATTTCATTCCTAAATGCAGCGAGACAGCTCATCATATGTTATAAATTAAGAGCTTACTCACAAACCATAACAATTATGTAATTCACATGCAAACAGCTTAATTCTGCCAAACGAACAGCCCCGTCAGATGTCTAGAATGCCAGATAATATTTTCCTTATTGAGGAATGGCCCGGCAATTTATTCCAGGAGGGAGACTGACAGGATGACACATGTGGAGAGCACGCCTCGCCGGACTCAGGCAGGGGGGCAAAGCACTGTGGGTTGTTTATGTGTAGCTGTACATCAGCAGCACCTGCTTCGACAACATCACCACACAAAGTGACCCCTGTTTGGCAGCTGCGCAGCTTCTGTGTTGCTATATTAGCTGACAGCATCAGGACTGTCAGGCAGCCGGTAACTCATCAATCTCCTCTCGCTGCCTTGTTTTTTCACAAGTTTCATTACACTTTTATTTTAAAATATATGCTACATGGCTGGTATTTTCGCTCAAGGTTGTCATTTTACCTACCGGGACTTATTTCACCTATCAACAAGTATTTCTACACACCTAAATGCATTGAGCAAGTACTCAATGAGCATGAAATATAGCACATCAGAAGACCCAGAAAAAGAGACATTCACACAACAGGGCGCAGACTGGGTAGGGAGTCCTGTCAGTTTGTCCGGTGCACAGACTCCATGGCCACTGTCCCACACAGTCTGTGCACAGTAAGATGGCGTACCCTGCTACCCTGCAAATCCATTCTGCTAGGGAGGAAAGCAATAACAGTGCAGCATATTCCTACACACATACCCACCACACCAGGCTGTCAAATATGATGCACAACAGACACCATCTATTCAGACGATCTCCAATTTAGTTTCATTACTGCCTCATTAAAGAGCCTTGGACCTGGACTCAGAACATCACTCCAACTGACAACAAGTACCGAGGGCTGTCTTAACCATTCATGCAGAGACCTGAGACTGATTTGTTTCACAACAAGCTTTAAAATGAGACATGACCAAAAGAACACTTGAGCTGTAAATGAACATGACATTCCCTACTGAACGATTGTCATGCTCTGAAGCAGATTTACTGTATTGCTGGGCATTCGAAAGCATTTCAGGGCTCAGTCACGAAGTAAAAGAGAAGACTCCAGGAACAGAGTGCTGACAAACACTGCCCCATCTCCTCTCAACAAAATTACCTTTGCCTCGCAAAGACAAACGGAAAAATGCAAATATTCTGTATGCAAATATCATTTAACAGCACTTAAAATGACTGACAAATGACAAAACTGGACACCTAGACTGTAATCTCCTATAATCTGCTCATTGAGTGACGTTTTACGCAACACAAACAGAAATTATAATGGCAAAACTGATAAAAAATTCTAGCAATTCAAGCACATGTGCAACAGCTTTGGCAAAATACTTAATGGAGCACAGCTGCTTGGAGATGGCTCCGACTCCGACAAATTTGATTAATTGTCATACTCGGCAGCAACAGTTCACGCTAAATCAGCAAAAGAAAGTTACATTCTAGGAATTCAGCTTCACCACAAGTTTTCAAAAGGAAATTAGTTCGAGAAAAATAATCCTCATTTATACTGACGAAGACAGATACATGTTTTCTATCAGACAGAAATTTCCTCCAGTGGTGCTCTATATTTTATAATAAAAGGTTTAAAAAGCATGGATTATCCACAGAGTGAGTTATATTACACCAGAAAGATGCTAAAAATTGGACCTGGGTAATTTTTCAGCTGCGTATTTGAAATCTCTTGTAAAGGGCAGCATGTCACAGTTGGTTTCTGTTCCAAGCACTTATTTAAAACTGAAATAAAGAGAGCTTTTAGGTGCATACATAGAGTTATGAGCTCTGTGAGTTACGCAGAGTGCAGTCTCATTGTCCTGCAGCGACAGACAGAAAACTGCAGAAAAAAAAAAGACTCTTCCGCGCTCTGTTCTCCAAGGAGAAGAATGAGAGAAAACAGGTGACAAGAAAGAGAAGGGCACAGGGCAGGGCAGGCAAGGGTCACTGTTCTGTCACTGGTCTCCCACACCGGGGGAAGATCTGCTCTGGCAACACCCAGCCTTCCAGTCCATTCCGGTGCAGGACTTCCCCACAAACGGCTCCCCCACCGTTTCTGAGCGGGCTGATGATGAATTTGTGCGCTCAGCGGAGGAGACGGCCAGCGGGATGGATTGGAAGGATATGGTGCTCGTCTGCCCCTGGTCTGTGGCGTTGGCGCGGCACTGCAGGCCAGCGCAGACAGGAAGAGGACTGGCAGCTGTCAGGCCAGAGTTTGACATACCAGCTGTGGTCTCCAGGCAGGAAGCTGGCAACAGCCGCAGGGAGCTCGAATCGGACGATGAACATATAGGTGGACATGGCTGGTGGACGAAATAAGAAAATATACAGATTTAATAGGTGCGAATGTATGCGGTCAATTGCATACATTGCTGGTCGTGACTCAGGGTAAAGTCGGACAAGCTCTGCTCAAGGAAAGAGCCGCGTAGCACTTTATTTACGAAGCTGGTCAGCAAATTTAGGAAATCTACCGTAAGCTTGATGTATTACATTGCAGACATTAGCCGGACATTTTAAATCCAGAAGTAAAGCCTTTTCAATTTGAGACGCGAAACGCTCCTCAGCATTAATCCAGGTATTTCTTGCTATGGCAACCAGAATATGCAATTCTTTTTTTCTTTCCAGACCCTTGGTAACTTGATCGGTGAGGCTTTCACTGACATCCTGTCAACTGAGCCCCACAAAGCAGAGCAGGAAAGAGGCAGCCACAGCGCTCTCCCAGAGCCCGGAGAACAGGGCTCACTCTGTGCGCAGATGGGCTAAACACATTAATGGAAACTGACTGCTACCTACAGCACCGATAAATGAGAACCAGTTGCTAGGTCAGAACACCGAGGAAATATTCACTTCTTTGTGCTCACAAAGTGGGGCGGACCAACAGAGAGGAGAACTGCGGTGAGGTCACCGTTCTCCCTGCGGTCTGATTGACCAGGGCCTGAAACGAATTCCCCCCAAACCTGGCTTCAGAGCCTAAAGAGGTATTTAAAAACTTCTTAGCCTACAAGACTAGTTAATCCAGTGTCCAGAAAAATTGTTTAGTCAATTTAAAAAGAAACAGCTGGGCTGTAAGAACATAAGAACCCTTACAAACAAGCCCATCTAGCTTGTTGGGCAGTTAGTCGCTAATTGATTCAGAGATGGCATCCAGCTGTTTCTTGACAGGATCCGGCAATGTGGCTGGGCAGCTTGTTCCACAATCCCACAACCCTTGACTTAAAGAAGCACCTTTCCGTTATCAGTTTTATCACGTCTGTGGAGTTTCATATTGTCAGCTCATGGGGCGGGGGGGAAAAAAAGCAGAACAAACAAACAAAAAAAACTTCCATTTGAATCTGAACAAAAAAAAATAGAACAATTAATAGATTTTCTTCCCTTTGAAGGAGAAGTCTGCACGGTTTCTCTCACGCTTGCAAGCCTGATCTTACATGCCATTACTTTTGGATCATTCATCTTTTATACAGAGCTGCTATAAAAGGCAAGTAATCTTGCTGTTAAAAAAAAAAACAGAGGTGATGTAAACTGCAGTTTAAGAACAAAAACGCTGAATCCAGACTGAGCTTGACATTATTATAACCGAGCCCTCTAATTTCCCCGAAGTGGGCTATGTAACACAAATCCAAAATAATGCAGACCATGTCACATTTGTTCCTGCTGTATCTGCTTATTATCAGTGTGGACATTTCAGTAAACCTCAACAATCTGTTTGTGGTTTGGGGGGCATGCACCACTCTATTGAAATCATAATAATAACCCTCTAATACAAAATCGACTGTAAAAGAAACAGGATTTTGTTCTAGAAATTTACAAAATGTCAATTGACTTCAACAAGCATGATAAATTTAGAGTAACAATCTTGAAAAAACAGCATGTTCGTTATCTGGTGTGCAAGACATTACCTTTAGTCACTTCCTTCCAGTCACACAGAAATAGGCACACAGCAGCAACTGCTGGAGAACTTACTTTTAAAGACCCATCCATATTCACACAGAAGAAAAATAAGAAAGGAAAAGATAAAAAAACAAAAAATCCATACACGAGTTCTGCCGTACCTAAAACACAACACTGCCTTTCGTGAGTTTCCTCTTTTTGGGGAAAAAAAACAACAACTAAAGCCTACAATCAAGTACGTCTATCTCATCTCAGTTTCTGACAAAGCAGATAATTATTTCACCAAGACCGTAAAACTGCTTCCAGCTGAAAATTTCTAGGAAGATTGTTATCACCTTAAAATCGAATACACCAAAGGCAGGCATGGCCTGGCTCTTTCGATGCTGCTGCAGGTCTTTTCACACAGGTACAGCAGCTCTGCAACTCCAGCTGAGTTAATTAGAAATCAGCCCCATGGCTAACGAGCAGGGATGTGTACCCCAGGGGAACAGACTGAGGTCTGGTCAGTGGCGCCCCTCCCCTCCTGCAGGGATTTTAGTCCTGGTCCCAGAGTGCTCCAACAAGACTGCCGTCCCTCGGTTCTAATGATCTTTCTATTACTTAATTGCACCCTAAATTACGAGAAATTGGTTAATTACACAATTTCTAGCTTTGGTTGAATATACTTCCTGATGTCGACATGGCATGTATAAATGAGCTCTGGGAATTCTGGGACAAAACAGAGTGCTCTGTCTTGCAGAGGACCTGCTTCTCACTCAGTTCTCCTCGCTGTGTCTCTCTGAATCCATACAAGTGGCCCAGCTCCTCCTGCAGCTGCTGGGATGAACCTAGCACTGGGGGCAATGGCGCTCAGGGCGCCCTCTGCTGGACAGGCATCTCGTGCTGCGTCTATATTCCGATACCCATCCACCATCAACAATGCAGGGGTTTTTTTTGTTCTAACCACAAGATAAAGCCCATTTGTAAAATAAATAAAAAAAGTTTACTTCAGCCTGGTTTAAATCAAAACGTCAAACCGAATGATGTTTCATTTAACAGATGCTTCTTTCCTTGGCCTGCTGAAAACATTATCCATTGCAGTGTATACAACATGCAAAGCTGGTGCAGTCAGGTTTTTAGTGAACCTTCAACCTAGACACTAACAGCCCAGAGACTTAAGTCTACGAGTACGGAGACCCTATCTTCAGGTATGAAATGGAAACGGATCAGGATTTACGAATGAAAACAATGTGGTGAAACTAGAAGCCTGAAGTGTTTGTGGGCTGCAGTGGGCACTGGAGTGGACACCCATGGCTCTCTGGGCTGGATTCTCAAGGGTGAGCTATCCGGCTGCCAGTGTCCTTGTACACCGGCACGACAATGGTCAGTGCTCAGCGTGCAAAAATTCAGAAGGTGCACAGGGAGAACATCAAGATTTCAGTTTTAAGGCACTACCCTATATTAGATTAGACAGCTTAATCTAATATAGGAGCCGGAGCCGATCCCTGAAAGCAACAGGCGCAGAGCAAGACACACCCTGGATGGGACACCAGTCCTTTGCAGAGCACACATAAACACGCACACGCGCACGGACGCACGCACGCACGCACGCACCAAGGCCAAGCTCTTTAGAAGCCAATTAACCTACCAGCATGTCTGTGGACAACAGAGCGGACACAGGGAGACCAGTATTTTACTGGTCAAATACCATGAAACCATGAAAATAAAAAAAATAACTCAAGAGAGAAAATATCCAGAGCCTTTACTATACATTGTAATTAATATCACTCTGAAACACATTGAGAAGGAAAATCTTCTACTTGTTTTTTTTTTTCTGAGCACATACAATAGTAACTTTTACCATTCTGGATTCTCCACATGTATTTAAACCAAACCAACTCATTCTAAAGTGTGCGTAACCACATTACGTCACAGAAAAATGTACTAATGAGTGGCAAAGCTTTGGACAATGTATATTTTAGACTCCCAGTGAAATAAATATGATTTTACCAACTAAAACCCCTGACTGCCACTCCAAAGGCAGTGTTATTCTCTGCCTCAATATACCAACACCAAATCTCTTTAACTCTTTAAAAGCAGTCTCCATCTTATATTTTTGAGAGTTAAGGGTAAATATTATAATTACCATTTCAAATTAAATTCAAAACTTTTTCACTGGGGTGCACAACAGAGATACAGAAAGAAGGTATATCCAAGGTCTCACCTCCAATGTTCTGGATCAGTATGGCACTTGCAACCAGTATCTAAAAAGAGCAAACACATAAGAGATTATCATCTAAAACAGATCCGAAAAAAACAATTCTGTTGCTCAGCAAATACAGAGCAGTGCCACACGAAATATATAAAACTGGTAAAAATGCACAACACATAATGCACAAAAAGTCGATTCTTGTATGGAACGCAATTCTTCCAAATTAGCCATTTTTTCTAGAAGCCAATTAACCTTAACCAATTAACCAGTATGCGTTATGCCTGTGAGAGGAAAAGAGAGCACAAAGCATCCCACACAAACACAGGGAGACCATATAAAACTCAGATAAACAGTTCACACCCCTGGAACTATACCCCAGGCCCCAGTGCTGTGAGGCAGCAATGGTAACCACTGCCATCCTCTGAAAGCTCTATTTACTGGTCAAATACCATGAAAATAGAAAAAAAAAACTCAAGAGATAAAACATTCCTTAAAAGCCCAGGATACACTACTGGATGTGGTCAGTGATAGCACAAATTTTTCATCCCATTAGGCAGTATTTTAATATCATTAATGAATTTGGCTTATGCTTTTATCCAAAAAGATTAGACTAGTTTAGATACCTGGGCATTTTAATGAAGTCATCCAAATAAAGTACCTGATTATACCATACCAATACTCTTTCTTGCCAAGAGGCAATTTTTGACTTACCAGGCGATTCATTACAATCTTTTCACCAAGTCAAAACATGTTGAATACATCACGATTTGAACTCACAACCAATGAATTCATGGGGTTGTGCCATCGGACTGTCCTACCACCAAACGTCAGAATGCCAGAGGAATATCCCTGCCTTTACTATGTTACAAAATCCTATTGTGACAAAGCAGTAAAGGCCAAGGCATCAGCATATTTATTTTTATAATTAGATGGGAACATCACTCTTTTCCTTCCATTATACTTTATGTGTCAACACTGGGACCCAGGACTTCCCAATTAATAATATACAGCATCCCATTTTATAAGGAAGTAAAACCCAACTGCTTCCTGCTGTTTCACTGGGTGGAGGGCGATACCCCCTCTCAGAGTAGTGCACCCCGCAGGCTCCACATCTGGACTGTCCTTCAAAGCTGGAATGCACTCACCTTCCCGGGACGCTGGTAGGCACGGAAACCCAGATCTTCATAAGAGGTGACAGCTGCAGGAAAGACGAAAAACAAGCTTTCTGCACAACGAGGGAGTTTTATTGTAAATATCAACGTAGACATTTTCAGAAGCTGGATTGCCGTGACATATTTGTAAAAGCATTCCAAAGTGCAGACAGAAAGCACGGATTAGAGCTGGTCTGTCGGGTTGATGTTTAGGCAGCTTATCAAGTGGATGATGAAACATCCTGCATTGTTACCAAGAGGACCACACTCCTTGCGGACAATTATAACGAAATACGGTTTAAAATTGGAAGTCTGTTCTGCAGAAACAGAACAGAAGATACATCCAGGGAAGCGCTTCTAAAAAGCCCCTGCCTCTCTGCGGAGAAGGAGCCCTTCGCGTGGAGACGGAGGCCAGAGAATGAGGGGGCCGAGCTCTCACCTGTCTGGTCGCACAGTTTGAGAAGCAGGTGGATGGAGTAAGAGGCCAGGCTGGCAACCAGCAGCAGGAGGATGCTGGGAACGAAACAAAACAAACAGGCCGTAAAAACCCAGGCAGGGTAAAAGGCTCCGTCAGAAAGAGCACAACCTCAGGTAGACGATGCTGCTCCTCAGCCATGGGAAGACTGAGCTGACAATCGGAGAATTGGCATTTTCCGCAAAAGAGACGGGATAGTGCCCCAAACACATATTCCGCCACATCCTGGAAAGAAAAGAAGAATTTGGAAATATTATCAAATACTTTTTCTCACAAGAAGCTATGCTATGTGTGAGGCTAGTGCAGCATATGATTAAAAAAAGTCTTAAAACATTAAGACTTTCTTTGCCTCCTGCATTACCTAGACCTTGCACATTGCATTGGGTTTGCATTTTGTTTCTTATGGGATCCTAAACAAAAACTGCCAGAAGAAATAAGCAAATAAAGAAGCCCTGGATTAGGATATTAGTGGGTCCAAGACACATACACAGATAGGGGCTCCCCTAGGTCATCCGTACACATTAAATATACAGTATATAGAATTGGTACAAATGCAGACATGCTAGCACATAAATGCATAGGTTCTTATTTATATGGGCTCTATGATTAATATTGCACCAGCTCATAAAAGAGCTCAAATAGTTTGCTTCTGGTGTTAGCCCTGCTGTAAATCAATCTAACAGTTCAATTAGAACGTTTGGGAGTAAGGCTGCATCTGCACCCGTTTCACAACCTGAGTGAACTGGAGGGAGCTCCTCTCTCCTTGAGAAAGGAGTGATTCAGGATTTCCATCCTCATGCTCTCACATGCGACCGGCTAGCGGCACTACTAGCAGAAGGACCCCCGCAATGGCCAGGCCCTGCTCCGTCTCTCACCAGAAGCCCAGGATGCCGGTGCTGGCCATGGCGTAGGCCAGTCCCAGGATGCCGCTGCCCATAATGGCGTTCATCAAGTTGAAGACGGAAGAGGCAAAGGAAGCTCCGGGAGAGGCCTCAGTCCTGGGTCCCTGCGCCGGGAGCACAGATCAGCATGACAGCTGTTAAAGCAGCAGCCACACGGACTTGACAGAGTATCCTGACTTGCGGATTAACTGCTTTGCTAAGCAGCACTACCATGCTCTAGCCTGATCTCAGCAGACTTAGAAAGCCAAGCAAGGCGGAGCCTGGCCAGTGCTCAATTTGGAGACTTCCAAGGAAATCACGTGGCTGCTTTAGATAGTGTTGGCAGACCAGTAGGAGGCGCACTTAACCCTGTACCAGGATTTTTAGTCCAAAGTCCAATATGGTGTCTGGAGAAACTATGCCACAGGAGGTGCCAACTTGCAGATGGAACATTGGCAACTCACTACGTGGTCATTAAAGATCCCAGGGCACTGTTTATAATTAACAGTTATCCTCTGTGTCCTTTGGGTTCCACAATCTGGCTTCCCTAAAGTCCCTTTATGAATCGATGAAGTAATACCTCCCTTCTCCACCTGATTTACTGTGTACTGGGGCTGAGGGGGCAGAAATGCCACTGTGTGTCGACCAGGTGGGTGCTGCATGTCAGTAGGGGATGTAGTCCCCTCCTCCTCATACAGCCTTTTGTGTTCCTTGGAAGTGACAAGTGCTCCACAAATCCAAGGAATTTTGATTAATAATTAAGGAAATCTATTAATAGTGAATCTAAGCAACCCGAATAAAAAGGTTGCATGCAAACAGCACTAAAACACAGATTGCTAATTTGGAAAATTATGTTCTGATTCCGGTTTTTGCACTTCCAAAAAAAAAAAAAAACAATTATAATGTATAACTAGTTCCACCGTCTTAATGGCATATGAATCTTCCAAACAAGTTTCCAAAGAAATAGTTAGTGATGGCATAAGTACTTTACAACAAGTATACAGTAAAGGCACTCTTTACTGTATATAATCATCTTATATTTATTGACAGCATGTATACATCTTGTAAAATACATTAGCTAAGCCAAGCCTATATCATAAAAGCAATGGGCACTGAAAATGAATGGGTTTAGAGTTAAGTATTGATTAAAAAAACATATCGGAATTGGAATTAAAAAGAAACCCCAGCTGACAGGGCCTCCCCTCCCTGGGGGTGGCCAGGGAATTCCGAACTGCATCCATAACGGAAAACATCCAAGACATCCGGGCCACCTGGCTTGGAGGAACAGCCAGCAGTGACCAGCCCCAACAGGTTTAACAGGGCTCTGAAGGCTTATTAAAATGCTACCCGATATGAGGTCTTCACCATGAATCCCGCTGGAAGCTTTTAATCAGTTCAAACAAAAGTTAAGTCTTTTAAAGGGAAAAGGATATGAATTATTACAGGGGCTCTAAAAATACAGCACAGGAATGCCAGTGAAGTACCCCAAGTATTTTAAATTCATTATGGTATGCAAAGGTCATTTTCATGAATATATGCGAGATGCTTTAAAAGACACTCTGGTGTAGTTTTAGGAATAAACTTAACTCTGATCTAAAGGTACATTTGGAGGGGATCTGTAACAAACCTCAGTATTTTGCTCCATCCTGTTACTGCTTACCAACCCCACAGCATCAAGCAAGGTTTCTGTGCGCCATATACTGCAACACGATTTACAAAATCTCCCAGTTAGGTGGTCACAACCTTCTGTTAAGAGGAAATGTAACCTTTTTCTTCTCGTGTGAAACCGTGAATAAATGCACATTTCTTTAAGAACCAGCTTATTGCAAAGGGTTAATTATTCAGAACAGAATTCGCAACAGAATAGGCTGAAACAAAAACGGCTAATGTGCATGGTGGGATCTGCTCGATTTCCTTCTGTCAAAGGGTTTTATGACTCTAAAGCTGTTGGCTCAGCTCCACACCACTGAATTTGTCCAGCAGCCTAAAAAACAAAATGCGTAACAATGTCTCACTGGTACTACACAGAATGGAGAAAATATATCCCCTCCAAATGTATCTAACCATGCAAGAACAGGTTTTAAACATGCATGGAGTGAATGGCTTGGCATTAAAAATCCTTACAAAGCATTAGAATCCTTTTTAAAGATGAAATGTTTTGAGTGGTTATTGCTATTACTCCAATTTCACATAGACATGGCAAACGCCACTCAGCTCTGTACTGTAGAAATTATATACACCATTATAAAACATCCTTTTTCTTTTTTTTTCACATTTCCCTTTCTAAACGAAGCCCTGGTCCAGTAAGCACTCTCAACAACCGAGCCATGAAACTCAACACGCCTCCTCCTCCAGGCTTGTGCTGAAGCCACACGTTTCTGTGTCAGCAGGCTCCTCAGATCAACACCTCTCCCACTCAGCTGCGCAAACGCTCACAGCTGCTCGAAACTACGTCAACCACTGGACTGATCGCCGTCTCGGCAGCTGCTGGGAGGCCCAGCCTGGATGGGGTCTTTCAAAAGGTGTATTGGATTTCAGAGAGTTAATGAATGCTAGTATATTGATGCACAGTTGTTTATCCCAGGTTTCTGCAATGCCTGCATCACATGCAGGGTACGGCGGTGACCTCCTGCCTTGATAGTACTGGCATTGCCTGGCACTATCCTGAAGGTCTGCTGGGATCTCACATTGCCACTCTCTAATGCAGGGGTGGGAAATCGTGATCCTGGAGGGCCGGTGTGTAAGGAAACTAGCCAGCTGGTTTCCGACTTGACTGGGAAAACAGGACAGCTTGTCCCAGCTCTCCAGGTGCTGTGCTGCTGCTGTAAAGAGACCCGGAAAACCTGCGGGATATCCAGGGCCAGCATTGCTCTTATGCCACAGTGTGAACTGAATAAAGGAGCAATTCAACTACGGAAAGAGTGTGGGACTGAAACACAGCTGTTCTTGAGCTACATGTGTACTGCTCTCATTCTGTAGGTGCCTAGAGGATTCCACACAAGGGAAATTCCTTCTGGTATAAAGTTCCACTGCTTGGAGAGTCCAGACAGAGCTCCTGGAGGTGGCTGAGAGAGCAGCAAGTATCGAATTTGACTTTACTGCGTTATTCCCCAGAATATCTCCTCAGCTGAGAAGCCAGGGTCTCACTGGTGACCTGCGATGTTCAACCTGAGCACCTCCACAAACCAGTGCACGGTTTGCCCATATTCAATCCCAGAAAAACAAGAGAATCAGTCCTTATGAAAAACCCTTCTGCAGGGGTATAGTTTTAATCCTCTGTCTTCTAGCGGCCCTTAACTCACAGATATGCAGCAAGAGCCAGCCTCTTCCATTCTGCAAACTTTCTTATTTCAATTCTGAATCATAAAAAAAAATTCATTGACGTGGGTTTGGTTACTAATGATAATATTGCTTACACAACTGTAACTTAGGATAACAGTGCAGAAAGCAGTGGTGTCTCAGTCACGAGGTTGATGAAAGAGTAAGTCAGGGATTGTTCTGAGCATTTAAAGGGAAAACTACACGTCACGAATGTCACCCTGACTTACAGGGGTACTGAGAAACTGAGAAAGGAGCCACAGCCAAAAAAAAACACTTTCAATTTGCATTGCATTTAAACAACAATCCCAGCCCTGATCACTGAATGCAAGGTAACTCAACCCTTACCAAAGCCTTGAACACAAAAGACAGCACATTGAGAAAGGAAAGGCACAATTTTTCACATCATTCAGATATTAAGCCACTTTTGTTATTGAGCGACTGTGGTTATGGTTCATTAAGAAAAGAAGCTCTCATCCCCACATTGACTCAGAAATAACAACATTAAGACAAACTGCTAAGGGAAACCTCTGTGACACTCGTGTCTCGAGCACTCCTCTTGTTTGCAGGCGTTTCCCTTAGCAGTTTGCCTTAATGTTGTTATTTCTGCACGATTGTGAGGATGAGAGCTTCTTTTCTTAATGATCCATAACCACAGTCGCTCAATACGAAAAGTGGCCTAATGCCTGTGTCCGTGGAAGACACAAATCTGCCTTGAAACGGCTGCAATCACAGTGAAGTTCCTCTTTCAGACATCAGAGCAAATGTTGTGCAACACTACGCATTTGCTAAATGTCGTGAAATTTTAGGTATTTAGATTAGCATTTTTTCAAACCTCTTTAACACAATACACTCTGCATACTACTGATATCAAAAGTTGTGGTCAGGAACACCAAACTGTATTACACAAATAAATCACTTAATACTGTATTTTTGTCGAGACCAGACCCCAGAACACTATAATGCTACCGAATTTAACCTTACCGTAACGTTTCGGGATGTCTTTATTTCATAGCTGAATGATCACTGATCACATACTTACATTTCCCAGCAAAGGTGTGGATTGCCCATTTCCCGGGTCCTGTGCAATCCGTACTACAACGCCTGTCTGGACACTGGTATTACAGTTCTCATAGTCACTCATCGTTGCCCTTTGAACGTAGATTAAAATATCACACAACAACTCTCAACGCCAACCCACATTATACATAAAATAACAGTAAATCGTCTGCTGGACCAAGAAGATACGCGATTTTACTCTTTACACCATTGGTGAATCCCTGCAGTAACTCTACAATAACAGTCACTCAGGCTCAGCTGACCAGTCATATGACACCAAGGCGTCGCTTTTTAAAGACGTCAGCGCAAGCCCTCGGTTGCCCTGGTGATGGACTCTGTCTACCAATCATTGCGGGGGAATTCCGTTCCACACTCTACGGAATCGGCCACTGAAAATAACGTCACCACGTATCCGCATGGCTCCCGAGAGGAGATGCAATGATAAGGTAAGGGTGAAAAAGATTCTCATTTTTATGCTTTATTCTTTAATATTCTTGTTAATATTTTTTTTTCAAACAAGCTACTGAACTCGCCTGTGTACTTATTTCCTCCTTTTTTTAGAAATTATCTGGACTAAATCAATTCTTCTTGAAGCTTTTCATTCGAAATCAGTGAGACGTTTTCTCATAGTCATGTAATCATAAACTTAGATGAAATTATAAGAAGATGTTAGTTTGCGGTGTCAATGGCTTCTATTTTCAGCTGCTTAATGGGGTGAGTGTGGTGGAAGCTAAATCACTGTCGTAGTGAAGCCTCCCTAAAAAAAGATTAGGAGGTGCAGAGGAAATTCACCCCAGGCCGAAGCGCTGTGATATGCCACTATATTCGCCTTTTTTTAACCTGACATGATCTCTACATTGTCTGGAGCGCAACCCGTATTACAGCCGGCTCTTTCAGGATTCATATTGTCACCCCTAATCGGGCCAAACCGAGCACTTGTACTTTTTGTCTGAAGTATCTAAGGTCCTTTCTTAACTCAGCCTCTCCCGCCACGGAATTGGTTACAGTTGCCAGTCCTTTGCTGTTGTGCTTTAAAAAGAATGAAAACTACAAGGGCATTTGATCCCTTCATTTCGGCATGCCCGATCCCAGGACTGAAAGTGTGCCTTTATTTTTCTTCGCAGGGCTCTGTGTCGAATCTTCACCTTTGTCAACGCAGAGACGAGCCTGAGACGAGCCAGGCCTCCGACGTGGCTCTTCGCTAAGAGGTGCCCGAGATTCCCGGGCGCAGCCCTTTCTGCCCAGCGGTGCGGTGCCCAGCAGGCGATGCCGGAGCAGCAGCAGGGCGAGGCCGAGCCCGGCCTGCTCGCCCCTCCCCCGGGGGTGCGCGGCATGACCACGCTGGACCGCAGCGCCTTCCGGAAGCGAGTGGCCGTGCCCGCCTTGCGCGTGCGGAAGGAGGCCATCAGCCCGCTGGTGAAGGCCCTGAAGAGGGTGGCCCTGCAGCTGCCCGCAGCGAAGCGAGTGGTGGAAGACCCGCAGGATGAGGACCACAGGCTGGTGCTGCTGGACCCCTCTGCCATCTCCTCCCCGGACTCCTTCCCAGAGGCGGAGGCGGCCGCCCTGAGGCGGCTCGGCGTGAGCCCCGAGGTGCTGCGGTACGAGCTGGAGCTGACCTACGAGCACCTGAAGAGCGACGAGGTGCTGCGCGCCGTGCTGCCCCCGGGCCAGGACGTGACCTCGGGGTTCAGCCGGGTCGGGCACATCGCCCACCTCAACCTGCGAGACCACCAGCTGCCCTTCAGGAAGCTCATTGGTAAGGGCGGCTGAAGACAAACCTTCGCGTCCGAAGGCGGGCAAACTCTACTCTCCATGTACTTCTCCGAGGTGGGCAGTTGGCTCACTGGTGAATAGATAGTTACTTACACTTGTATAGTGCTTTTCTGGGCACTCCGCTCAGATGATGTGACGGCAGCCATAGTGCGCCAGCACTCTCCCCACACGCCAGCTCTCAGTGGGGAGGAGAGCAGAGCCAGTTCAGAGATGGGGATTATTAGGAGGCCATGACTGGTAAAGGCCAGGGGGAAATTTAGCCAGGACACTGGGGTAACACCTCTACTCTTTTCAAGAAATGCCCTGAGATTTGTAATGACCATGGAGTCAGGACCTTGGTTTTACATCTCATCCAGAGGACGGCGACTCTGTACGGTATAGTGTCCCCGTTAGTATACTGAGGCACTAGAACCCACACAGACCGCAGGGTGAGCGCCCCCAGCTGGCCCCACTAATACCTCGTCCAGCAGCAACCTTAGCTTTACCATCCAGGTACTGGCCAGGCTCACACCTGCTGAGCTTCAGTGGGCTGCCAGTTATTAGTTGCAGGGCGATACGGCTGCAGGCAAATGTCAGTGAAGGTCAGGGTCCTGCCTTTTGAGACATTAAATCATTTCAGGATTGCTATGCTTCAAGTTTCTGCCCCCCGACTAAAATTGAAAAAATGCTCGACAACAAAAAGGCTCCAATGTAAAACTGTGGAACAGCTAAGGTTTTACTTCCCTGTACTACTTTCACTGGGTAAACATGCTCAATTACTTGTTGAAAGAACAAGTCTGTGGGACAACTGCGTGTTTTCTTTATAACATTATGGTCGAGGCTGTTAAGGTTCCGCTGGTGCATGGTTGAACTCATGTTCTTTTTCACAGGACAAGTCATAATGGACAAGAACCCAGGTGTGACCTGTGTGGTCAATAAAACCAACACCATCGACTCCACTTACCGCAATTTCCAGATGGAGGTGCTGGCGGGAGATGGCAACATGGTGGCCAAGGTGATGCACAGAGCCTTCAGCGGTCTGCATTAGGCTGTATTCAGAAAGCCTATGTACTCCTGCAGCCATGCAGAGGTCTCTTATCATGGGTGTAGCTGGGATGTAGGCTGTAACTCCAGTTGTACAGGGCATCTCCATTTTATTTTGATTTGACACTTGAGTGCCTTTGTGCTTGCTTCCTATGATGCCATTAAGCAATACGAGCAATGATAAGTAGTATGTGTGCTGCAGACATCATTTTACTCTTCTTGACCGTGAACTGCATATGACATGATCGCCCTTTTGTGCCTTACCCCGCAGGTCCGAGAGAACAACGTGTCGTACGAGTTTGATTTCTCCAGGGTGTACTGGAACCCCCGGCTGAGCACGGAGCACGAGCGGATCGTGGGGCTGCTTCAGCGGGGGGACAGCGTCTTCGACGTCTTCGCCGGAGTGGGGCCCTTCGCCATCCCCGCTGCCCGGAGAGGCTGCAGCGTCTTCGCCAACGACCTCAACCCCGAGTCCTTCAAGTGGCTGCAGCACAACTGCAAGCTGAACAAGACGGACAGCAAGGTGCGCACCTTCAACATGGACGGGCGAGACTTCATTGGGGGGCCGCTGAGGGAGGAGCTGCCCGGGCTTCTGGAGATGAAGAGCAGAGTGCACATCATCATGAACCTGCCTGCTCTAGCCCTCGAGTTCCTGGACGCTTTGAAAGGTCTGCTGGAGCAGGGACCCGACTCGGACGATGTCAGCCCGCCACACGTCCACTGCTACGGCTTCTCCAAACACGACGACCCCCGGCGGGATGTGACAGAGAGGGCCTCCGCCAGTCTCGGCACGCCGCTGGAAGGCCGCTGCTCTGTCCACACGGTGCGCAATGTGGCGCCCAACAAGGAGATGATGTGCATCAGCTTTCCCCTGCCCTGGGAGGTGCTCTTCAAGAAACCCAGAAGCCCAGAACCAGGTGAGGTGTTCTGGGCCTGCCAATCGTTTGATCCCAGCTGCAAAAGCCGGGAGAAGGAACTGCCTGGCAGCTAGGGGTTCCCAATTCTTGCCGTTCTGAATTCATTTTCTCTCTGTCAGGGACTCCAGATGAACCAGCACCAAAGCGGCCAAGGAGCGACGAGCCGACAGCGTAGAGACGGAACTGCGTTCAAGTTTGAGGAAGTGTTTAAACCTCTGGAAAACCGTGTTCTGAGGTGTACATTTTTAATTTTGCAGTTTTGACACACAGAAGGAAGATTTTTTTTTTTAAAAGCCTCCCAGTGTTTTAAAATAAACTTAAACCATCCATTTGAATATGCTGTTTTAATACTGTTACGGTTCAATTAGAAGTACCTAATCAGACCGTATCCCATACATCATCCTCTTGTCAAAACAGTTCACGTTTTCAGAAAAACCTCTTATGACCTATTCCATGTCTGATTAGAAGAGGTTAGCCCTTAATGCTGAGCACACACTGATCTGCATAATATTGGACCCCAGTGGCACACAACACAAAGTCTCATGAGTCACATGTTAACACTCTCGTTAACACTTGAAATCACATGCGGTAGCTGGACTGCACACGCCCCTGGGTTCACAGTCTTGGTGCTTTAAGTTTCACTGCTGGGTAACACACCCTTGACACAACGGTCGTACCTCTACATTAACATGCACAGCCAGCTGGCCTTGAACTGTAAAAATAAGCATTCATGAAGTTTTTTTTTTTTATTATAAAAGCTTTGAGAAAAATCTATACACATCTTAGGTGGGTAAAAAAAAATCGCTCGTTGTGTAAAGTAAGCAAGCAAACATATTGCTACTATCCACAAGGTTCCAATAGGGAATCTGTGTCGCTGCAGCCACTGTGATCCCTGAGTGAGGCCGGCAGTGTTGAGATCCTTTTCGTGGCTTCTGGTCACTCAGCTACAGGCTAAAAAAAATTAGGAGGGCTCCTACCCAGATGGCTGACTTGATTCAGAAACCAGGTACTACCATGCAAAGCTATCTCATTTATATCCCAGTAAGAACACAAGATGACAAAGTCAAGAAACATCTTTACATGACAATTATTCATCTTGCCCTTTTTTTCACGATAATGAGGCACGGGTGTACAAGGTTTTCTAATGTCTTCTGTCCTGGGCTGCAGTGCCTTCCGTCAGGCACCACAGGGAGCCAGCCAGGTTAAAGCACTGAGTAGAACAGACCGCTGAAGGCGTCCTGCACAGCTCGATGGCAGGCCAGGCTGGAGGTGTAGCCCCCAGCCACATCCTGGGGGGAGGCAGCCCGCACGTGGTTCAGGTACCTGCCAACACAGGGAGATCATCATCAGCATGGTCTTTCACTCCAGCACAGCAAGGCAGCAGACGTACAGGTGTAGTCTGCAGGCATGGTGGAATGAACACGCATTTCTCCTGCCTGGTAGCTGTATCACCCATCCATACCAGCCTTACAAACCAAGAGAGAGATATTTGTAGTTTTTATTTTCATTTTTCACCACTGGTATGTTATCCGTGTCAAAGCTGGTTATTTTGTCCCATGTCAGGGTACAGTAAACTGCTGACCTTATTTTGCATTGTTCGGAGAATGTTCCAAGCCCCCCTGATTCTCCTCTGTGAAACCATTTTTCCAGCTGCGGTTTTGGTCAACTCTATACTTGCTTTGACTGTATTCTCCAGAAATGATGCATTTTCCATTCTGCACACCACACATTCTGCTCTGTACTCTGGCAGTCAGACTATTCACTGCACTCAGAGCACTCTCTGCTCCGTCCTTCGTGTGGTTTTAGTTATATGCACAGCACACTCCACAGTATAGCAAAGCAGTCTTTTTTTTCATGTTAGACATTCACGGCACAGTATGGCTCTCATTAGAGACCACTAACAGTATATAGTCCAAGGCTTTCTAGACATGACAGTAGTTAAGCAGACCAGCAGAGAGTATTAGAATCTCCTCCTATCATTTCAAACTGTAATTTATTATAACCGACAGTATGTGAAAACAAATTCAGAGTTTTGCCAACATGACTTTGATTCATAAACTGGAAATCGTAGGCGTGTAAACACAACTCATCAAAACCAAAAACTCCTTTAAAGAACACCACATGTGATGGTCTCTGGGTCAGTACATTCTCGTGGCAGAAGCTCCCCGCAGAACGGTGGTTTTAATTTACTCTTACAATCAGGACGCCCTTATTGACATGGGCTCTTCCTTTAAATCTCTTACACGCTTTGCTTACACAGAGCCCCCCAGCTGAGCCTTCCACTGCATTAGCTTTAAAGAGCTCTGCTGGCAGAGATGCCAGTCGGGCTGGAAACTCCGGATCTGGGCTGGCAGGGAGAAGGCCAACAAGAAATGAAAACATAACAGGCTCTGGGTGCCCAGAGAAAGGTGAAGAAATAGCCGCCGGTTTTTGGAGATGTACTGTACAAGCAGCCTGCCAGTGAACTAATGCCCTCTGCAGATTACCGCTAGCCTCAACGCGTTAAAAACACACACGGCGAACTTCATATCTTGCTCCAAAGGGGCCTAGAACTATGCCAAAAACGGCAGATACTTGCCGTCCCCCAATCTGGTTTTTATTCCAAGTTCATGATTAAATACAATAGCTTAACCATCTCGGTTTTTTTTTTACATTTTCAGAAATATTTTCCAAGAAATGTTGCCCTGTTTCTCTTATAAATTCTTTCCATAGATTTCTATATATCAGACTGATTAATGACGTATTCGTAGGTGGTGATGACACTGTCAAACACTTCCAAGCACTGTTAGTGACATACACATCCACTGTTTTAAACTGCAATTTAAATACATTAAATCGAAATGAGAGATTCTGAAGCCCAGTTTTTGACTTGGGATAAAGGCTACTTTCTGATCTTTTCCTATTATTCAAGAACAGATTCAATAAGCGTAAGTAATCAAGAGCTCAGTTGGAACAGAAAACACCAGGGTACTCCAGGACTATGAAACCCTTCCAGGGCATTCAGCAGAATCAGCCCAGCTGTGACATAGAAGTCGGTTTGAAAAGTACACTCAATACTGGACTGTTTTTTAATCATACTGTCACACCTGAGAGTGTGATAGTGGGAGGTGATGATAACACTCTTTACCGTGTACACGGTAGTATATAATCTGCAGCATCAGTACCTGTCAAACAGGTTTGGAAGCGTGCCAGACACCTGCAGCATGACAGCATCACTCAGTGATTTTATTGCACATACATCTCTGGTTAAGCAGTCTTGCACATTAGATTTTTGAAGAAGGACACTTTAATGCAGACTACTGCAGCTTGTAATGGATTCTATGTGCTCAGAAAAACAAAAACCTTGTATATCTAGTGTCTGTCTTGCTGCCTAAAATTAGATTCCTGTCTGATAGTAAATTTGATTGCCAAGGACACGTGGAGACTTGGAGCAGACATTAAGATAAAGAAGCCCTGCATATTCGGAGTGCTTCTCAACGAAGCCCACTCTGACAGGCTGCTGCAGAAAACGGTAAGTCTCAGTGTGATCAGCATCTTCAGCAAGAAGTAATTTGAAACCCCCTTCTCACCCCCATACCCATCGCGCGGCTCTCACGCTGTGCCGAGGGGCGGCTCTATTATAGTATTAGGTGCGTTTAATGTAAGTGCTCACAGATGTTCCTGACAGAGACCACAAGGTCTTCCACGTTGGAGATTTCCAAGATCACAACCTCTGTGTTTGCCTTTGCCTTGTGCTGCGGAGTTAAAAACATTAAACTGTCAGGCTCCCTTAGCCAGCCTCTCTGCCAAGACAGCCAGCATGGACCCGTGATCTGAAGGAGCCCGCAGGACTGTTTGTGTTGCCATTTTTAATTCTTCCTGCCCTTGGACACCCAGGAACATCAACTCATAATGGGCTGGAAAGCCTGCCTTTTGGAATCACTTCAGAAGTTAATCATAAAAGCATGGATTTTCCCGCTCTTGCCCCCCCCCCCAGTGTTCCTGCAGCAGCATCCTAAGAACGTGATCTTCATGCCATCTTTTTCAGAAATGCTGTTCTGAAGAATGAGTAATTGAGCGTCCATTAGCAGAACTGGCGAGACAGGAGGCGGACAGTAACCGTCAGTCTCTCACACCCCCTCTCCCCCAGTTTCCCCCTGTTAGAAAACCTCACAGGGACCAGGAAGTTAATGTGGGTGTGGGTTCTTTTGCTAAGGCACCATGTGGACTGAGAGAGGTCTTTTAGCTAATAGAGCACCTCAAATTAATTAACAATATTTTTCCTTTTTTAATTACTAGGCCCTGCAACTGGCTAAATATATTACTCCAAACAAATTACTTTACCTCCTTTTACTTCATTCTTCAGACATAGAACTAAACAGATTAATCAAAGTGACTATACAGCAGACTACACACTCGCTATCCTGTTGCTGAAGTGATGGAGGGAAAGGAAGAAACTCTCTACTAGTGGGTGCCCTGCACACACATCCTGCTATCTCAGTGCTAGTGTCTGTCCATTCACTGCTGGCCCTTGCTCCTGACACACTACGTCACAACACTAAGGCTAAGGCTGGCTGTGCTGTGTGTACTCCACAAAACAATGTTAGTCAGCTACGAGAAAAAAAAAACTCCTGCACCACATTTCAAGGCTGCATAAAAGTTATTTTTTCAAATGAAAAGATTTTCTTACGTGATTCTACCCAATAAAATAAATCAGATTACTTTTAGGACTTAGTTCTCTAAGGCTGGAGCTACTATAGATATATATATCTTTGCATAACTAGTGTCTGAGGAGATGGTTTTCAGACCGAAGTAAATCTTTTCATAGTGGTTGGATTAAGCGCCAACGGATGAACCTTTTTGCAGAAAAAAAGTTAAAAATAAAACAATTTCTCGCAACACCAAACACATTGCGCTTTCAGGAACACATTACTAATCTGTTCTTTTAAATCCTCCCAAAAGCTCAGCAGACAGGTTTAAAGCCTCCGCGCGAGTCAGGGGCTTTGTGCTCTGTGTCCCAGCGCTTCAGGGAACTTCAAAGTCAAACAGGAAGCACATGGGGCCTCTGCAATCTTTCTCTTAAGTGGGAACTGTTTTCTTAGGTAACCCAAAACCTGCAGCAGTAATTCATCAGACGTCCTAGTGAATATGCATGAAGGAACGTTTGAGCTCAGGGCAGAGTCGCCAGGCCCTTCTGATGTTGATCCAGCAGGCCAGTCCTGCCTGCGTCCCCACACTCTGCCCTACGGAGACAGCCGGAGCTCTGCAGTGCACAGCCACGACACGTGGAAGTCTGAGAATGAAAAACGAATTTCCTAGAAATTAATTAACAACAAATGGCAAAGTTCCCCGGCGCTTTACTTTTAAGGAATATCTGCCCTGTGCACTGAACCTCCAAACATCTCTTACTGCAGGGACAAGAAAAGAAACAACATATTCTGGCTTTCAGTGGGGAATAGTGTTCAATGCATGCACTGTGTCAGTAACACCACCTTAACGGCGCGCTTTAAAGGCACATATATTTTCAATGGTCTGTCCATGCACACAGGCCATAGTTTCAAAAGCAAGGTAATGGCCCTGCTGGGAAGAAAACAAACCAACCTTTCATTCAGGCCCCTGGCTCACACATGAAGAGACATCGGAGACCTCTGGGTATAATTTGGCTATAAAAGGCTACATTTCTTGATTTCAAGACTGGTGGAATAGTGCAAAGAAATAAAAGACAATGTTAGAAATAGTTCTAGTATATTTATTTCTACAGCTTTAAAGAAACACAATGTTTGGGTACCTTATGAGACAGCATATGGCATCTTTCGTACGGGCCAGTGTTTTATTTCCCATCCGAAGAGGCTGCCTATTGATTATATTGTTTTTTTTTAAACAAACAGGCTATTTTGAGCACTGGTAAGACTGTCCTTCCGCTAATCTAATCCCCACGCAGCTCATGTGGTCATTCCTTCCAAGAAAACCGAGAGCTCTGTGTAACCTTAAACCAGCAGGTCTCGGAGGAACGAGATAGAGAGACAGACAGAGAGGATTTATTCGATGTGCGATAAAACCCCCACATGAACCACACACACCCCCAATGCAACAAAAAGCCATCACCACACCAGCAAAAACCTACTAGCATCTAAAAAATGGGGAGAGCCCCTCCACTAAGACAGGAATTGTTCAAATCCCCCTCCCAAATACCTGTAGTCCCCAACACTGGGCTCAACCCCAAGCTCTGCAGTTACGGCATCCTTGTTGTCCATCCCCTCTAGCCTGGAGGGCTTCAGCACTGAGAAAAGCACTACAATCTGTCCCCCCCAAGAGTTTGGCTTTGGAACGGTTTGCCAGTGAAC